ATAAGGGTTCAGGAATTAGTTGGCACAAGCCAAACTGTCTCGAAACAAAATTTGGCTGGTAAGCGAAAAGGAAAATCTGATTCTTGGCAGGAGTTATTCTTGAAGAAATGAGTCTAGGTAGCAAAAAGGCTCTCCATACATCCTGAATCTCCTTGCTCTTGACAGCTTCTGAGAGAGCCATGGTGAACCAGGAAGGTCCATGAGCCCTCGAAGCAAAAGGCGCCATGGTCTCTTCGAACTTATGCCTCTTGGAGAATATCATGATGTACTTCGAGAATAGGACTTTGAAGTCGTCTTTGTCGTCATTTGGAGTTAATCTTCGCAGCCTAGTGCCTTCGACTATTCTATCAGTTATCTCAGGGTCTTGTTCATCAATGGTGTTGGCAGTTGACAAGGAGGGTTCGAACATGGCATTTAGCCATAGCTGAAGTAACCAAAAAGGGCCAGCCAACAGGATATTCTTGGAGGTATGAGATTTTAGGCTCGAAACAGCTGACCTTAGGCTTTCATAAAGGTCAACTAAGAGCAGTTCACTTAAGCACACTCTTCGATTCTCGTGTAAATCCCTAGCTAGAGGAATAAACCTACTGGCTACCTGTAGGGATCTACTGCAGAAGACGTATCTTGACAGCCATAGGGTAAGGAAAGCAATGTGTTCTACATCAGACACACTGTCTCCCTCAGCATGGTAGTGACTGATAAACTTGGAAAAACTTGCTAGTTTGAGTTCGAAGTCGATTATACTCGAATGTTCTTCGTTATCAGGGATATATGTTTCTCCTACTGGTGATAGCCCAGTGATGGCCGCTATGTCAAAGAAGGTAGGGGTAATCATTCCACCAGGGAGATGGAAAGTATTATAAGTATTGTCCCAGAAATAGAGGGACGCGAATAACAAAGGATGGATGTAAGTGAAACCAGGCTTCGACAGCTTAATTAAGTTGTAGATACCTAATTCTTCCCATTGCTGGGATTTCTTAGCTTATACCTTATTGAACCAGTTTTGATAAGCAGTGTCGGAGGTGGGGCAAGATCGAAACGGTTTAAAATTACTTTTTACATAGTCTAATACAAAAGGGTCCTTAGGAGGAACGGATGGATTTTCTATGGTGTTTGAACCAGAAGATTCTATTGCCTTAGGGGCGTCCATTTTGTTAAACAGGGGTTTGAAACTATAGCAAACTGGGAAAATTTTCCTGGTATCTTTTAAAATTTCAAAAACCGTAAGAGGGCCCATTAAAGCTAACCTCTTACCAGCAGCGGTGGTAGGAATAAGTACCTGGGATGCATAAAGCATTTCTTTTTCCTTTGAAATCATCTGAGGAACCAGGACAGATTGACCTTGGTGAGTGACCACTTTACTTTCCATTGTAGTTCCTGCGGTCTTTCCTTTCTTCTTGGAAATCTTTTTGAGTTGGGATGAAGTAGAAGAAGACATTGTTGGAAGAATATGGAGAGCTTAGGGTTTTCGGTGAGAAAAGAAGGATAAAAGATTCAGAATATGGAAAGAAAAGAAAAAGACTAAGTTGATGGTTTTTATAATGTGGAAGTTTAAGCATCCACTAAATAAGGTTGTGATACGTGGAAATCATGGGTTGGTGTGATGAAGAGGCGGCGTAAAGTTAACATGGGTAATAGGCGTGATTAAAGACAATCATTGTTTTGTAACTGCACCATACTGTGAAGTGGCTCCAGGCGGTTAAGGAATCCAAAAAGTGTTATGATTGACGTGACTGGATTCAAATGCATTAAATGTTACGATGATTCGAAGGTCACATCAAAATCTTGTGTAGATATTTAAAATAAGTATTTCTCAAAGAAATCGAAATACATATTTTAAAGGGGCATTTTGTTGGCTGAAGATTTTGATAATATTATTAGGAGCCAAGTGAATTGAACGTTTCGATTGAAATGAAACAAAGCATCGTGTATCGAAATAGCAGAAGCAGTGTTTCGAATGAGTATATCAAAGCTTGGAGCTTCGAGTGGCAATTATGGGAACATATCTAAAGAAGTCTCGAAATGACAACAAGGCTGTGTCTGAGAAGTGCGTTCGAAGCGGAGAAGTACCAAAACATTTGAAATTCAAATGCAAGCGGGACATTCGAAGTTTGAAATTTATGTGCTGGAGCATTTGGAGACACGTGGAAACAAGAGAGAGGCATTGTTCTGCATGTTCTGAACGTGGCATAATCTTATAGCAAGACCGTTATGGTCGAAGTAGTATAAATAGAAGTCTTAGTATTAGGATTTCGTGTGTGATATCTGTTTGTACAAAAATACTCAGTAAACATTCAAATTACCACATGGCTAGGGAAATGAATGCAAGAGCAATGTACGTATGATAGCACCACATGTTTATGATTTAATGAAAACCCTTTATCATTTCCAGCACTTTCCTTTATCTTTCTGCCAAATACCATTTACAAGTTTTCTCATTTAAAGTCTTTTTATTCGAAATCTTTTCATTGATGCCTTACATTTAAATGCTGTCTTTCCATTTCAAACACTTTACATTTCAGAAAACTGTCATACTTTTTATGCCTTTATCTTCAAGTTTTATCCTTCGAACACCTATTTTTACTTAAAGTCATTTTACAGATTTCTTGCATTAAACGCTTTCTTCGCATTTCGAATCTTTTACATTAACTATTTTGTTTTACGTTTCGAAGCCATTTACTTATCTTTTATGCAATTTTACATGTCTTTACAATTAACATTTATTCATGCAATTTAGTTTCGCGCACATATATTTTGATTACACCTTTAGATCTTTAAGAGAGAAATCGAAATAAGTCAAACACCTACACAACACTCTAAATACCAACCATGAATACCTGTTCGATCGTGAGAGTTACCCTAATGACCAACAAGTCCTAGGATCAATCTAGTCGATCCTGCGAGTTACCAGAGAAATTGAATAACAATCAGTAAGTTTATTCGATAGTTTGGAAGACTAGCAGTTGTTTACCATAAATCACTGGAAACAAATTGGCACACCCGGTGGGACCAATAATTGGACATTAGAAATAAAGATTGTTGAGACATAACCATTATAAAAACGTTGGAACCTAAGAAGTTTGCTGTTTTATGAACCTGAGAAGTGGTAAAATAACCAACAACAACCAACCCCTATCCAGAAGAAAATGTTTGAACAAGATGTCTAATTCTGACAATCAACAAGGGGAACAAAATGCCCCACATACAACAGGCACTAGTGTACCCACTTCGATGGAAACATCTAATGTGATCCCTTCGAATGCACAGTCTGTTGCGTCTTCAACCAGTAATATAGCCACTAATGGAGTAAGTGGCATATCAACTAATAGTTCGATCTTAGGAAATACTGGAACCATTGGTTATCCTGGGGGATTTGTTCCACCATCAGGGACACAATCCCATTTCGCCACTCTACTAACTAGACCACTCGGTTTCGATGGTAATAGAACCAGAAATTCCTCTTACAGAATACCAACATCTTTCATGGCAGGTTTACACAATTCCACATCGAATTCATCACCACAATAAGGGTCTGGGTCTGGGGCGAATCAGTTTATGACAAATAACCAAGGGTCAGTGGGTTATAGCACAATGTTTGTATTTTTGTTACCTCGAAAAAGGGTTTAAGTATGATAAGAATGTTTTTGATTTGCTAAGAAAAGATTTTAGTTTTGAATGCAAATATGCCAAAAGGGGAAGAAAAGAGTCTAAGGTAGACTAGCCTATTTCTAACCTAATGTTATGATACAATGGTAGTCTTAAGGTTTGGATTAAGAAAAGGAAAAAGTCTACCTAATGTTAGCATGCATGGCTTACAACTTTAGGTCTAACTTGCATCCAAACGGAGCAAGCACATCCTATAGGAACATGGTATGTACAAGGATAAAGTAAAAAAGCTAATAATCTCAAGAGAGCACACCTAGAGAGATCATATCTAGGTTAGCATGCCAAAGAAAGTCTAATAAACTATCTTATAGGGAACATGCAATGAGAGAAATGTCGTGATCTCAATTTCTAAATTGAGTGACTCATCGATCAAAAAGAAATAAAGGAAAGCGATAAAATCCTATAGGAAGCATGCACTGAGAGCAAAGTCGTGATATCAATTCCTAAATTGAGTGACTCATCGATCAACAACGAAGGAAACAAACACAAGAACAACACATATAGAAAATGAAGTGTGGAATGCCTGCTACAAGTCTTTAAGCAGAGACTTCGAGCGCACGCTCTTTATTTCCTACTTCTCATGGTATCTAGAAAGCAATAATGTGTGAAATGAGATAAACAAGAGAAAATACCAAACGGATATCAATCCGTAATGAAGTGTATCAAAATAAAGAAACCCGACGATCTTCACGAAAAGTTTCACCAACCAAAGAAAAGAGCCGAAAATTGAATGCTCAGAATAAGTATCGAAGCATCATCGATGTGAAAATAAATCACAATCAAAATCTCAAGCGCATCCACACATTGCATGATAAACCTGCATAAGACTCAAATCTCAACAAGCAAAGATGAATCACGAATTTCGAATAATCGGATAACCATGAATTAATTCCTAAAATCAAAATAAATAAAAAATCTAACAAATTTTTATATTTGATTTTATTATTTTTATCATGTAAAAAAAACTCAAACAAAACAATTATCAAAATTACCCAAACAAAAATGCAAATAATAATAAATAAAAAGGGTGCAACCTATAAGCAGGGGGTGTTGGAAGAGTTTGGGTGCTAGGCCCAACAAGGGTTTTTTGATTCACACAACCAGCCAGCTTCCAAAAACATTGGGCTTCAGAATTCCATTTAGCCCTTTTGCATCATGCTCCAGCTCACCAAAAATGCTATTGGGCTCCAGGAAAGGGTTTGGGTTCGGTCCACCAACAACATCACTTACCAGTTTTGTTATTCAATCTTTTTATATCAATTTTATTTCCATTTAATCAAAATAAAGTAATAAAAACAAGAAATTGGAAAAAAGGATTTAGGTTAAAATTGTCTATGACCTTTGAGCTTCTAAGAGAAATCAGATTCTTCTTCCTCTTCTTTCATCAACAGCGGCCGCGACCTCCCTTTATCCTCCGATACACAACCATCGCTGTGAATCCGCAAGACAAAATCCAACACCGTCGTTCATTCTCTTTTCCTACTCAACTTCTCGGGTCTTCCCTAAGCTCAATCGCTCTTCTTATCGCCGCCAAACAGACCATGAATACCTCCTTCTCATCCTCGCCAAGCTTCTTCCTCACTCCCTATCGTTCTCTTCCATCGACGATTCCAATTTCTGAGGATCTCCCGTCTTCATCTGATCTTGTTTGTTCAGGATTCGAGGTTCGGCGATTCGTTCCTCAGTCGTGATGTGTTGTTGCAAATTGAAGACGAAGACAAAGTTTCAAGAAATATGAAGATCTTGACTCGAAGGTAATATCCTGCATCCAAAATCTTTGTGCTTATCGCTTTTCTTCTTCTGAATTCTATTTATTCTTATTCTTTGCGTGATATTCTGTGTTGATCTCTTATGCACACTGATGTCGTTGTTCTTACGATGCAGAGAATATGAGAACCAAGAAATAAACTCAATGACGTGTCTTTGAAGACACAATGATGATGAAGTGGCGTGAAGGTTGAAGAGCGTCGCAGTGGAGATTTAATGCTGGTGACGAAGCATTGTTGATGGAGTTTCAAGATGAATCAGTGAAAGGATGCAGTTCTTGAAGTTGCGATGAAAATGATGTCCGTTGTAGGAAATTATAGCGACGGGGATTGAAGAATCATTAAGAAATCATAGAAGATGACGAAGACTTGAAGAGGTAGTTGCTATGATGAAGATGTTGCAATGAGAAGAACCGTTATCAGGTTGGTGAAGTTTGAAGCTTAAAATTGGTGGATGGAGAGTGTGAAGGAAGCTATGTGTTGAGGATGAAGAACTGTGATGATGAATATGACGAGAGAAAGATGAGAGTTTTCTGGAGTTTTTGTGTGGTGATTCTTCCAAGAGAATGGAGAATAATTGAAGATGAAGATGTTGTTGTTTGTTCCAGATGCTTGAGAGAGGTTGAAGAACAAGATGAAGGTTAGAGAAGTTCAGGGAGAAAGAAGAGAGAAGAATCAGAGAGAGGGAGTTTTTCAGATATTTTGGTAGTTTTGCAGAATGAATCAAGAAGAATCCCTGAATTGGTGAGTTTTTGTTCTGATTCTGATTTTCTGCCTTTTGAACCATCGTATCCTTTCTTCCTCCCTTTCTTTCAATCCGGTAAGGAATCTCGTTAGAAGTAGTTAGAGGTTGTTAGGAGATTTGTAATTCTGTTATGGTGTCGGTTAGAATGAGCTGGCAGATTCAGTTAGAGTGTTATTGATTCTGTTGCGGTTAGTTATGGTCTGAGAGTTAACTGGAGTTTGGTTATTCTGTTAAGAGTTTTCACTGTTAGTAAATCTGTTTATTGTTTTTTGTTAATTGAAATAGAGGTTATTCTGTTACGGTTAGTTATGAGGGTTAGGAAGTTAGGGATTCATTTGGGAAATTGGTTAACTATTTTTGGATCTGTTATGACAGTTGTAAAATTGGTTAGAAGAAGTTTGTGATATGTTGTTTTAAACTATCTTATATTTCCCTTGATTTCCTTCCTTGAACTTAGTGCAGTGCCGGTTTTGAATCGATTTGGATTGTTTTTGCAGGTTGTGGGAGCATAGTGCCATGGCCTTGATGAAAGCAAACGGAAGCGATGTGAAGGAATATTGAAGGTCAACGGTTCGGTAATGAAGGCAGCAACATGAAGATATGAATAATTCTTCGTCTATGGGGTTTGAGAACCAATGTCGCGTGGAGATGACTGAAGATATTCTTGTAGCAAATTGAAAAGACTTATGTAACTTAGAGAATATTGTCACCTCTTGTAATTTTCTTTGTGAATTGTAACTTGTTTTTGTATAACATCAACATGGCTTGTAAATTTGCACGGTTATGACTTTAAACAAACATGAATATCTGAAGTTGTATAACATCAACAGTAATGCTGAGAGAATCTTGGGCGACTTCTACCTCAACAGTAACGCTGAGAGAATCTTGGGCGACTTCTACCTCAACAGTAACGCTGAGAGAATCTTGTGCGACTTCAACCTCAACAGTAACGCTGAGAGAATCTTGGGCGACTTCAACCTCAACAGTAACGCTGAGAGAATCTGGGGACGATTACTACCTCCGCAATAACGGGGAGAGAACCATAGGCGACTTCAACCTCAACAGTAACGCTGAGAGAATCTTGGGTGACTTCAACCTCAACAGTAACGCTGAGAGAATCTTGGGCGACTTCTACCTCAACAGTAACGCTGAGAGAATCTTGGATATCTTCTACTGAGTCTTTATCAGGAAAATTTGTTAGGGGTCGATTTAGCTAGACTAGAGAAGGCCTTTGACTGGATAAGAAACAAGAAAATCTTAGGGTCGATTTAACTGAACCGGTCTAGGTCTTGAAATCTTCAAACTGGATAAGAAACAGGGAGATCTTAGGGTTGATCTGACTGAACCAGAGAAGGCCTTGGACTGGATAAGAAACAGAAAAATCTTAGGGTCGATTTAACTGAACCGGTCTAGGTCTTGAAATTTTCAACTGGATAAGAAATAGGGAGATCTTAGGGTCGATCTAACTGAACCAGAGAAGTCTTGAACATAACTGAGAACTTAACTGGATCTTTCCTGAAAGGTAAAGGTCAGTTATATGCAATGCATGATATGAATCAAGCAATGATGTTCTCAACACAAATGAGATTTGTTAGGTATGATGCGTATATGCATGCTATAATGTATGGAAGCATGATGTTTATGATTGTATGTTTTCCGTCTAGGAAAGTAAATCCTTGACGGGTGCCGGGAAGTCACTCCTGGGCTGATGTTTGGAAAATAGATTTTTGCTTCCGCTGGGGATGATAGTTGCAAGAATACCGGTAGGAGAAGATAACTCCGTTGGGGAATAAACTTGGCGAATGGCATACTCTGCGGGGAGAAAAGTACCCTGACGATCTTGCTGGGGAGCAATACTCTGTGGGGAGAGAGATACTTTGCTGAAATGTTGATGGTAACTCCGCTGGGGGTACCGTTGTTGTGTTGGAAGTGTTAATAGACTCCGCTGGGGATAAGAAGACTTTGTCGAAGACGATCTTTCCGTGGCTTTTGGCTGAGGATAACCCAGTTATATCCTGGTAGGGAAATAACTCTTTGAATAAAGCCGGGGGACGCGTTCGTGCTCTACGAGGGATAAGCTTCCAGAATCTACTGGGGATAAGCTTGCTGCTTGGGGAGATGGATTGAACTTTCCTGGGGAAACCTTTGGACTGGACTCTCCTGGGGAAAATCTTGAGATGTAATTTTTGTAAGTTGAAAGAGGGAACCTATGTAGGGTTGCCTGATGATGAGCTCGTGTAAAACCGCATCTTGGAAAGAAGGCCACCTGTGTAGGGTTACTGATGACGAGTCCGTGTAAAACTACGTCTGGAGCCTGAGAAAGGGAACCTGTGTGGGGTTACTTTGACGATGAGCCCGTATAAAACTGCATCTTTGAAGAGGTAAAACCTGGGTAGGGTTTCTTCGGGATAAGTTCGTGTAAAACTTCTGGCGGAACCAGGGTAAGGTTACTGCAGGGTAAGTTCGTGTAAAACTTCTTGATGAACCGGGGTAAGGTCATCTTGAGATAAGTCCGTGTAAGACTTCTGGAGGAACCGGGGTAAGGTTACTGCAGGATAAGTTCGTGTAAAACTTTTTTGATGAACCGGGGTAAGGTCATCTTGAGATAAGTCCGTGTAAGACTTCTGGAGGAACCGGGGTAAGGTTACTGCAGGATAAGTTCGTGTAAGACTTTTTCATGAACCGAGGTAAGGTCATCTTGAGATAAGTCCGTGTAAGACTTCTGGAGGAACCGGGGTAAGGTTACTGCAGGATAAGTTCGTGTAAAACTTTTTGATGAACCGGGGTAAGGTCATCTTGAGATAAGTCCGTGTAATACTTCTGGAGGAACCGGGGTAAGGTTACTGCAGGATAAGTTCGTGTAAAACTTTTTGATGAACCGGGGTAAGGTCATCTTGAGATAAGTCCGTGTAAGACTTCAGGAGGAACCGGGGTAAGGCTACCTGGAGGTAAGTTCATGTAAAACTTGAGATAAATCCGTGTAAGACTTTTAGGAGGAACCGGTGTAGAGTCACTTTGATGATAAGTCCGTGTAAGACTTTAGGAGGAACCGGGGTAAGGTTACCTTGAGATAGGTCTGTGTAAGACTTTTTCTGAGGATGAGTCCATGTAAGACTTTTAGGAGGAACCGGTGTAGGGTCACTTTGATGATAAGTCCGTGTAAGACTTTAGGAGGAACCGGGGTAAGGTTACCTTGAGATAGGTCTGTGTAAGACTTTTTCTGAGGATGAGTCAGTGTAAGACTTTGTCTGAAAGTTGAGAAGGAACCGGTGTAGGGTTACCTGATGGTGATCAATTGGATGATTGTCCTGTTTGGTTTCGGATATTAACCCACGATCTGGAATTTGTAAAGGTAGATGGTAATCATCTTTATATTGATCTTTTCTTGGTACCTTGGTTGACAGAGCAATTGGATCGCCTGGACGACTCATTATTGCCCCTGTTTCTGAGGTGAGGGAGGAAGACCTGTGAGGTGCTGATAGTTGTTGATGGACAAACCTTCTTTTGGTAGGCAGGTGACAGGATGACAGGACATAGTCGTACGCTTTAATCCCTAACTTTTGCCTGGACCGCCCTTTCGGGTTTTCAGTCCACCGGGATACCCATTTTTGCCCAAGCCGCCTTTTCAGGTTTTCGACTTGCCGGGTGTTAAGATTTTTTTATTTCATCCCTTCATTTTGCCCGAACCCTTTTGGTTCGCCGGGAAGCCCTAATTTTTGCCTAGGTACGTCAACCTAGCGGGTCTTTGATTATGTGTATTTTTTCGACTATGTCCGTGCTTTCAGAATGTAGGGAGTTGCCCCTGTTAGAGGTGTTTTGCCATGCCACCAGAAGGTGTTTGATCAGGCAATATTCGTTGTTGGAATGCCCCAAGTGACTCAGGCGGAGATTTGCCCCAGGCTGTTTGGCCTTGAGAGATTCCCTGAATCTTTATTGGACTTCCCCAGATGACGGACAATGATCATGTCATGCCCCTTGATTGGAAGTGCCTTTGTTCACTAGGCTTTCATCGTGCAAATTTCCTTGCTGTTCAAACAAATAGTCATATGCAAACAATGTTATATCAAAAATGCAAGGCTTATGTCTATCTTGAAGATTTTGAAAATGTATTCTTTTTTCATAAAGCAAGTGAATGTTTGTAAAACGTGATGTCAACTCCGTATTTACTGTAGGCCTTAAG